AAAAATAAAAAAACTATGAAAGAAAGAAAGAAAGAAAGAAAGAAAGAAAGAAAGAAAGAAAGAAAGAAAGAAAGAAAGAAAGAAAGAAAGAAAGAAAGAAACTGGAAACTGTCAAGCTGGAAGGAAACCAGCTGCCTTCCAGAAAAAGACAATATATTTCAAAGAAAAACAAAAAAATAGGCATTTGAAGATACGTGAAGCTGCCTTATACGGCATCAGACCAATCCGGCGTCAGACCAATCCGGCGTCCAGTATCTGTTTACCCAGACTGGCAGCAGCTCTCCAGGGTCTCAGGCAAAGGTCTTTCCTATCACCTAGTGCCTGGTCTTTAAGAACATAAGAGAAGCCAATGTTGGATCAGGCCAATGGCCCATCCAGTCCAACACTTTGTCACACAGTGGCCAAAAATACAAAAAAAAAAAAAAGGCCATCAGGAGGTCCACCAGTGGGGCCAGGACACTAGAAGCCCTCCCACTGTTGCCCCCCCTAAGCACCAAGAAGACAGAGCATCACTTGCCCCAGAGTTCCTATCTATACCTTGTGGCTAATAGCCACTGATGGACCGCTGCTCCATATGCTTATCTAATTCCCTCTTAAAGCCATCCATGCTTGTAGCCGCCACCACCTCCTGTGGCAGTGAATTCCATGTGTTGATCACTCTGTGGGTGAAGAAGGACTTCCTTCTATCCATTCTAATCCGACTGCTCAGCAATTTCATTGAGTGCCCACATGAGTTCTTGTATTGTGAGAAAGGGAGAAAAGTCCTTCTTTCTCCACCTGCTCTATCCCATGCATAATCTTGTAAACCTCAGTCATGTCACCCCTCAGTTGTCGTTTCTCCAAGCTAAAGAGCCCAAAATGCTTCAACCTTTCTTCATAGGGAAAGTGTTCCAACCCTTTTATCATCCGAGTTGCCCCTTTCTGTACTTTTTCCAATGCTATAATATCCCTTCTGACATGTGGTGACCAGAATTTTATTTTTAATAGGAGATGCCGGGGATTGAACCGGTGACCTTTTGCATGCAGAACGGAGGCTCTTCCACTGAGCCACAGCCCCTCCGTTCATCTCCTCCTTTGAATCTGCAGTTTTACAGATCGTTCGGTCATGTCTTCCAGAGAACCACCCAGCGGTTTTAGACTCTTCATGACAGCTTGACCTCTGCTCTTTCCCCCAAGGGGAATGCACCCATTTATCTAACCTCGCTTCTACATACAACTCTCGGTCTCTGGTTCTGGCCTCGCAGCCAGAACTGCCTGTCCTGTCCCTTTCCCAAACGCCTCCGTCCGCCTCGGCTTTCCTTTCAAGTCTCCTTCTTCAATATTTCAAAAGGTACAGAAGGTTGCTTTACCGTAGGGAGTGAGACCCTGGCAAAAATGTGAAGAGCTTTGGGCTTGCGTCCCCCGGTTAATATTAAAATCCGAAGAAGAGCTCCAGGGCGGAGCACCAGAGAGCGGCTTTAATGCACCTGAACAGTTGGACGGCCCAAGGGATTAAGCAACAGTAATGTGCCTGGGGCAGCAATTACGCACAACTCATGCTCCTGCCAGATACATGCGACCGCTGAGTGGTGTTCTGCGATGGCTGGCTATCTCGCACAACCATCCGATCTCGGCGTCCACATTACTGAAGACTCGGGAGGGAGTTCAGATGTAGTCCCGACATCCTGGGGCAGCCAAATAAGTAATTACAAGGCTCCCCCTCGCTGCCTCCTGCTTATTCTTTTCATGGCTCTAAAACGTATCGCAAACATTCTTAAGTGTCTTCCAGGGGCTAATTTAGGAGCTTTTTAGCCAAAGCTGACGTCTTGGGGCCGCAAATATGGAAAGAGATGATAGCGCAGGAGGTTATTACAGCCATATTTTCCTGTATGTTATAATTACAGTAAGTCACTCTAGGCCTACCAGGAAAAGAATTGTGTTTAAAATAATAATTAAGAATAATCAGAGGAGCCGGTCTCATCCGACGCTCCCAATTCCCTCCATTATTTTAGTGTGTGTTGCTCCTCATGCTATTGTGCTGGTGCAGTTTCTGAGGTCCAAGAGCCAACGTGGTGTAGTGGTTAGAGTCTCAGACAAGGATCTGGAAGACCCAGGTTCGAATCCCCACTCCGCTATGGAAACTGTCTGGGAAGCTGTCTGGGTAGCCTTGGGCCGGTCACACATCCTTAGCCTAGCCTCCCTCGCAGGATAAAATGGAGGAGAGGAGAATGAGGTAAGCAGCTTTGGGTCACCACTGGGGAGAAAGGCGGGGTATAAATGATGCCAATAGATCTTGCCTCTGCCGTGGACTGACCAAGTGACCTTAAGCAAGCCTCTCAGCCCCATCTGCAATATGGGGATACTACTCGCTGCTAGTGGGGCGGTGGCAGCACGCGGGCCTGAATCCCAAGCAGCGAATCACCGCTGGGAAATTGGCCCTGTGTGCGCTGCGGCCCCCACCTTGAAGGGTCTTTCTGACAGAGGAGCTGAGGCTGGCGACCACCCCCCCCTCTCCCTGCTGAAAGATTTAAAGGGCCCTCCAGCTGATTGGCGGACCACATGCTCCCCATCGATCAGCTGAAGCCCTTTAAACCGCTGCAGGAGGGAGCAAGAGAGGTGGCTGCAGGTGGCCATTCTTAGGGGTGGCGGCGGTGGATTGGAGCCCCCAGCAGCGGGGAACCCCTGCCCGGACCTGGGAGGCTGGCAACCCATGCTTTGAAAGTATTAGGCCCAGCCTCCCCCCCCCCATCTTCTTCTTCCCCCGGCCCTTTCTGGCTGCCAGCCTTCCCCCACACAGGCCGCTGCTCGGTTGGTGCCTGTGGTTGCTTGCCTTACTGCCTCCCTCTCTCGGTAAGGGTCCTCGGGGCACTGGGCTGTTCCTGGCTTGCCTGGTGGGAGGGGGGGCTAAGTTGGAGACGGGAGCCAGCCCTGGACAACTATCAATGAGTAAGGCAGGCTAG